TTCTACTGACAAACACACTTTACAGTTCTACTGACAAACACACTTTACAGTTCTACTGACAAACACACTTTACAATTCTACTGACAAACATACTTTACCATCCTACTGACAAACACACTTTACCATTCTATTGACAAACACACTTTACAATTCTACTGACAAACACACTTTACCATTCTACTGACAAACACACTTTCCCACTCTACTGACAAACACACTTTTCAATTCTACTGACAAACACACTTTTCAATTCTACTGACAAACACACTATACAATTCTACTGACAAACATACTTTCCCATCCTACTGACAAACACACTTTGCAGTTCTACTGACAAACACACTTTGCAATTCTACTGACAAACACTCTTTACAATTATATAGACATTAAACGTAGACCGGGAGGGTTCATTAGTAAACAAAGATACTGACAAACACACTTTATAGTTCTACTGACAAACACACTATACAATTCTACTGACAAACCCACTTTACAATTCTACTGACAAACACACTTTACAATTATATAGACATTAAACGTAGACCTGGATGGTTCATTAGTAAACAAAGAGGATGAAAACTAGCTGTGGAGGGGCATGCCAGCCTCGAATGTAGATGATTGTTGATATGGGAATGCACAAAATCCTTCTAAATTGCCCGAGTTACATATTTTACCGGTATATATATGTAAAACCAAGGGTCTTGTGACTGTTATGAACATAAGCTTTACATTTAGTGTCTATTCGTAACATTTAATGTTGTTATAGAAAAGCTAGACATGTTTAAAACATTAAAGCTCTTTTCAGTGTCAATGTGTATAGCATGTCTAACACAACATCACAGACAGTTATGAAATGGCACATCTTCTAAAAACAATTATCGATTTAGCTAACGTTGCATTTGTAATCTAGTTTATAATCTGTTAAAATATGTTACTAGGGAATTTTGCTATGATTTTAGTCGTATCGCATGGAAACATTTATCTTAATTTAAGGCTAGTAAGCCTCTCTACAGCTAGTAAAAGAGAAATTAAGCTCTGGATGACCTAGGTATATATATGAACTTCAGATACTATGTCATTTTATAATATACATTTGGATCGCTTAAGGAACTATTTTTATGACGACATCAGCCTTAATGTCTTATTATTGACTACGTTAACCTCGCTATGGAACATTTTAATAGCTAATGTACAAGTTCAATATATCCAAACTACATAAGTTCTTATCCTTACCTTGGGTATTTAAGTATAACCTATCAGTAAGTTGAGATTCAGGATGACCATAGTCTCTTTCAGGGTGCTTTTTGAATTTTAATGTCTTCAAATTACACTTAATTAAATTTTAATAAATGTCGTGGAGATTATACGATTATCGTTAATTTGCACATACTTTAATTTAAAAAGTCCACAACTTAATTAAACAAATTATCGTTATGATACTGTGCTATATAGTTGACACACCAATGTCTTATTTTTCGTATTACACTCATTAAGACGTCAGAACTAATACAATCGGCATAACGGACTGATCTGGGGATATCGTTTTATAAAACAATATACATTAATATCGAGATGGCGAATTCGAAAATCTGGCAATGGTCAGTGAGTACACCTGTTCTTTTCCGAAAGAGTTGTATTAATTCTTGTTAATGTGATAAAACAGATCTTCATTTCGCTCCATTTCATATATAATTGATAAAATTCGTCTCGATGGTCTTTTTTTAGCTCGACAAACGCCCTCTGAAATGAAAACTTCTGAATTCTTTTCATGAATTTTAAACGAAGAAAAGAATAATCGAGTCTCCTACGTCACATACACATGATCAGGCCACCGAACAGTGTACGCGTGAGTCTCCTATGTCACGTACACATGATCAGGCCACCGAGCAGCGAGTCTCCTACGTCACATACACATGATCAGGCCACCGAACAGTGTACGCGTGAGTCTCCAATGGCACATACACATGATCAGGCCCCCGAGCAGTGTACGTGTGAGTCTCCTACGTCACATACACATGATCAGGACACCGAACAGTGTACGCGTGAGTCTCCTATGTCACGGACACATGATCAGGCCACCGAGCAGTGTACGCTTGAGTCTCTTACGTTACATACACATGATCAGGCCACCGAGCAGTGTACGCGTGAGTCTCCAATGGCACATACACATGATCAGGCCACCGAGCAGTGTACGCCTGAGTCTCTTACGTTACATACACATGATCAGGCCACCGAGCAGTGTACGCGTGAGTCTTCTATGTCACGTACACATGATCAGGCCGCCGAGCAGTGTACGCGTGAGTCTCCAATGTCACATACACCTGATCAGGCCACCGAGCAGTGTACGTGTGAGTCTCTTACGTCACGTACACATGATCAGGCCACCGAACAGTGTATGCGTGAGTCTTCTATGTCACGTACACATGATCAGGCCACCGAGCAGTGTTCGCGTGAGTCTCCTGTCAGGTACACATGATCGGGCAACCGAACAGTATACGCGTGAGTCTCCTACGTCACGTACACATGATAAGGCCACCGAGCAGTGTACGAGTGAGTCTCTTACGTCATGTACACATGATCCCTATGTCACGTACACATGATCAGGCCACCGAGCGGTGTTCGCGTGAGTCTCCTGTCAGGTACACATGATCGGGAAACCGAACAGTATACGCGTGAGTCTCCTATGTCACGTACCCATAATCAGGCCACCGAGCAGTGTACGCGTGAGTCTCCAAAGTCACATACACATGATCAGGCCAACGAGCAGTGTACGTGTGAATCTCCTATGTCTCTTACGTCACGTCCACATGATCAGGCCATTGAGCAGTGTACGAGTGAGTCTCATACGTCACGTACACATGATCAGGCCATTGAGCAGTGTATGAGTGAGTCTCCTACGTCACGTACACATAATCAGGCCACCGAGCAGTGTACGCGTGAGTCTCCAAAGTCACATACACATGATCAGGCCAACGAGCAGTGTACGTGTGAATCTCCTATGTCACGTACACATGATAAGGCTACCGAGCAGTGTACGCGTGAGTCTCAAACGTCACGTACACATGATCAGGCCGCCAAGCAGTGTACGCTTGAGACTCCTACGTCACGTACACATGATCAGGCCCCCGAACAGTGTACGCGTGAGTCTCCTACGTCACGTACAGATGATCAGGTCACCGAGCAGTGTACGCGTGAGACTCCTACGTCACGTACACATGATCAGGCCAACGAGCAGTGTACGTGTGAATCTCCTATGTCACGTACACATGAAAAGGCTACCGAGCAGTGTACGCGTGAGTCTCAAACGGCACGTACACATGATCAGGCCACCGAGCAGTGTACGAGTGAGTCTCCTACGTCACATACACATGATCAGGCCACCAAGCAGTGTACGCGTGAGTCTCCTACCTCAGGTACACATGATCAGGCCACCGATCAGTGTACGAGTGAGTCTCCTACGTCACATACACATGATCAGGCCACCAAGCAGTGTACGCGTGAGTCTCCTACCTCAGGTACACATGATCAGGCCACCGATCAGTGTACGCGTGAGGCTCCTACGTCACGTACACATGATCAGGCCCCCGAGCAGTGTTCGCGTGAGTCTCCTGTCAGGTACACATAATCGGGCAACCGAACAGTATACGCGTGAGTCTCCTACGTCACGTACAGATGATCAGGCCACCGAGCAGTGTAAGAGTGAGTCTCCTACGTCACGTACACACACGTACAAATGATCAGGCCACCGAGCAGTGTTCGCGTCAGTCTCCTGTCAGGTACACATGATCGGGAAACCGAACAGTATACGCGTGAGTCTCCTATGTCACGTACCCATAATCAGGCCACCGAGCAGTGTACGCCTGAGTCTCTTACGTTACATACACATGATCAGGCCACCGAGCAGTGTACGCTTGAGCGTCCTACGTCACGTACACATGATCAGGTCACCGAGCAGTGTACGCGTGAGTCTCCAAAGTCACATACACATGATCAGGCCAACGAGCAGTGTACGCGTGAGTCTCCTATGTCACGTACACATAATCAGGCCACCGAACAGTGTACGCGTGAGTGTCCTACGTCATGTACACATGATCAGGCCAACGAGCAGTGTACGAGTGAGTCTCCTACGTCACGTACACATGATCAGGCCGCCAAGCAGTGTACGCTTGAGTCTCCTACGTCACGTACACATGATCAGGCCACCGAGCAGTGTACGCGTGAATCTCCAAAGTCACATACACATGATCAGGCCAACGAGCAGTGTACGCGTGAATCTCCTATGTCACGTACACATGATCAGGCCACCGAGCAGTGTACGCGTGAATCTCCAAAGTCACATACACATGATCAGGCCAACGAGCAGTGTACGTGTGAATCTCCTATGTCACGTACACATGATAAGGCTACCGAGCAGTGTACGCGTGAGTCTCCTACGTCATGTACATATACACATGATCAGGCCACCGAGCAGTGTACGGGTGAGTCTCCTATGTCACGTACACATGATCAGGCCACCGAGCAGTGTATGCGTGAGTCTCCTACGTCATGTACATTTACACATGATCAGGCCACCGAGCAGTGTACCCGTGAGTCTCCTACGTCACGTACACATAATCAGGCCACCGAGCAGTGTACGCGTGAGTCTCCAATGTCACATACACATGATCAGGCCACCGATCAGTGTACGCGTGAGTCTCCTACGTCACGTACACATGATCATGCCAACGAGCGGTGTACGCGTGAGTCTCCTATGTCACGTACACATGATCAGGCCACCGATCAGTGTACGCGTGAGTCTCCTATGTCACGTACACATAATCAGGCCACCGAGCAGTGTACGCCTGAGTCTCTTACGTAACGTAAACATGATCAGGCCACCGAGCAGTGTACGTGTGAATCTCCTATGTCACGTACACATAATCAGGCTACCGGGCAGTGTACGCCTGAGTCTCTTACGTAACGTACACATGATCAGGCCACCGAGCAGTGTACGGGTGAGTCTCCAATGTCACGTACACATGATCAGGACACCGAGCAGTGTACGCCTGATTCTCTTACGTAACGTAAACATGATCAGGCCTCCGAGCAGTGTACGTGTGAATCTCCTATGTCATGTACACATGATCAGGCCACCGAACAGTGTACGCGTGCGTCTCCTATGTCACGTACACATGATAAGGCCACCGATGAGTGTACGCGTGATTCTCCTATGTCACGTACACATAATCACGAGCAGTGTACGCGTGAGTCTCCAACGTCACATACACATGATCAGGCCACCGAACAGTGTACGCGTGCGTCTCCTATGTCACGTACACATGACCAGGCCACCGATGAGTGTACGCGTGATTCTCCTATGTCACGTACACATGATCCGGCCACCGAGCAGTGTACGCGCGTGTCTCCTACGTCACGTACACATAATCAGGCCACCGAGCAGTTCACGCCTGATTCTTTCACGTAACGTAAACATGATCAGGCCTCCGAGCAGTGTACGTGTGAATCTCCTATGGCACGTACACATGATAAGGCCAACGATCAGTGTACGTGTGAATCTCCTACGTCACGTACACATAATCAGGCCCCCGAGCAGTGTACGCGTGAGTATCCTATGTCACGTACACATGATAAGGCCACCGATGAGTGTACGCGTGATTCTCCTATGTCACGTACACATAATCAGGCCGCCGAGCAGTGTACGTGTGAATCTCCTATGTCACGCACACATGATAAGGCTACCGAGCAGTGTAGGCGTGAGTCTCATACGTCACGGACACATGATCAGGCCACCGATTAGTGTAAGCGTGAGTCTCCTATGTCACGGACACATGATCAGGCCACCGAGCAGTGTGCGCGTGAGTCTCCTATGTCACGTACACATAATCACGAGCAGTGTACGCGTGAGTCTCCTATGTCACGTACACATGATCAGGCCACCGATGAGTGTACGCGTGAGTCTCTTATGTCACGTACACATGATCAGGCCACCGAGCAGTGTACGTGTGAATCTCCTATGTCACGTACACATGATCAGGCCACCGAGCAGTGTAAGCGTGAGTCTCCTATGTCACGTACACATGATCAGGCCACCGAGCAGTGTGCGCGTGAGTCTCCTTCGTCACGTACACACGTTCTAGCAGTTACGTGATTAATATTGTTATCGTTCACGTGCATTTCCAGACACTTACACGCATTTTCTTACACACTGTTTCCCGAAACAACATATGTATTTAGAGTACATAACTACATTGTATTTTACACCTTTGTGTACAGCTGAATCAATTTGTAGCATCGATTCGTCATTTTTTTACAGATATAACAATTATGTGAACATAAGCTTTAAAGCGTAGTAGATGTATTACCAACTCTTTACATATTTAACACTTGTGTGCACATACGCTTCATCGGTCATCTGATGAGTTGTTTGACTTTATCTAAAAAACTTAAATGAAGTCCCAACATTTTCACTTTCATCCTGTTACTTTAGTTATGATCAGTTACATGAAAATAGCAGAAATTCAAAACATTGTTTTCTAAACAAACAAAAAAGAAAAGTTAGACACAAAATATTGTGAACAATGATCCGCTTAACATGTCACAGCCGAAGTTTTGGCGTCCTGAAACAGTAGCGTTTTCATATTAGTGGTTAAAAGCCATAAAAACCGTGTTTCTAGATAAAGGAGCATTTAAGAAGTAAAAACAACTCAAAAGAAACATTCACGTCTATACACGCATTTAGTTCTGGGAAAGCCGCAGGAAAATGAAGCCAGGTCGTTCAACGAAAGATAACTCTTAAGATTCGATAACATTTTATAAGATCTCGGATTTAAAGTTGGATGAATCGTCATATATATACCGTCTCTGACAGTTTTCTTATTGCCTTTATTCTCCAATGTAAAAAAGGCACACATAGCCGATTGAGTGTCTGTGACTGTTAATACTAGCTGGCATCTAATCAGTCGCAGTTGTTGATGCATGTTGTTATTGTAGTGAACATAACCACTCAAATACACAATATACAGTATTTTATATATGTACTCACATTTGCTAAGGATCACTTTTATTTTTTAGTATATGTGAAAATAAATATTTTATTTGGTTTATACTGAGATTATTTCTGAAAAATTGATTGTTCTTTTAATCCATCAGCATGCAAAAAATCCAAAAATCGTAATTACAGTCGGAAAATGAGCCGCAGGAAAAGGGTTAAAATTGGTTACAACGAGGTATTTACTAAAAAACTTAAATTGAACAACCCTCATCCTAAATCAACAGAAACTAAGTACGCAGGTGACAAAAGTTTGACAAATGTGCATATTTAGTGCTAATTGACAATGAAAAATGGTATAAACCATTCATAAACTATGTGTTATGATATTCATGATTTAGTATGTGAGAATTCCTCCTATTTACTCGGCCATTGAGACGTCCTTGACCGAAGCGAACATTCCCTTGTGTGGCTTAGTGAAAATTTACGTGCGTAGATCTGTACGTGTATTTAAATTCTGAGCAAGTTTGGTACGAGCTTAAAATGGACGCTTCTCAGCTCCAGACGCCTTCCCAAAAGTGAAAGTCGCCAGAAAACACAACACCAAGTCCTAGCGTCCCTACTCAACCAAGACACAGGAGAAGAAACTCGTTTAGAG